TCTGCTGTAGCAGCATAAGCTTGTTAAAATAAACAAGACTAGAAAAGAAAAGGTCCACAAGGAATAAATAGAAGATCGACAAGTTGGATCTTCACACTCATTTTATGTATTTAGTATTTATGTTAATCGATAGAGTTATTTTTAAAATTGTATTATATTGAATTCATCTCATATTTGTATTAATGGGTGAAATTAACACCCTAGCAAAAAAAAAAACTTCGTAGGATTTAAGATTGACCATTGGGCTAGTATGTGCAATTTTTTCTATTGTCATGTTGCTCACAGGGTCATAGCTCACATAACCAATTTTCTTGCTCTATTATAGTAAATACTGAGTATTTGGCCCAAAATTCGGATTTCCTAGGTTAATGTCAAGTCTTTCGTAATTATTATAGTTTGTTGGGACTAAATTTGTTCTTCACTGCAGATACTTGTGTAATAGTAAAATAGATATGTGGAGTGATCTATTTATATAAAGTAATGCACCAATAGACCTTTGGTCCAATAGTACTCCTTATTTTATCAATGCTTTGCTTTCTTGAGGTCAAATGTTCAAGTCCCCCTCCTCATCCCCAAAAAAAAAGAAAAAAAAAACATAAAGCAATGCTATTGAGATATAATTTGAAAACTTAATAATTGTGGTCATTAGAATATCAGTGAGTTCCAACACTATTAATTTAATAGTCATAATAAATTAAATTCCAAAATTATGTCATTATATCATTAGTAATTTACATATGTCAATTTAATGTTAAAAAAAGGATGAATTACATCGGAGGTCCTTACAATATGAAATTTATTTCATTTTAGTCTATAATATTTTAATTGCATTATTTTTTCGTTCATAAAGTATTGAATATATTTTTATGTGGTCTCTTAAGTAGATAACGTCCAGATTTCGAACAATTTTTCATTATAAACTTGTCATGTAAGATTTAAATATGAGTGAAAAAATAATTTGGATAATATTTGAACAAATTTTTATTCAAATTTTGGTTAAATACATACCCAAATTACACAGTTTTTATCATGAACTATCCAAGATAAAAAAAGAAAAAATCAAGAACTATCCAAATTTTAATCAAAAGTCATCCATATTACATCTTTTTGGTCAGGAGCTATTCAAATTTGGTCAAGAGCTAACTAAATTATTTTTTACTCTTAATTAGATATCACGTGACAAGTTTATAATAAAAAATTATTAGTAATTTGAATGTTATTTATTTGAGGGACCATAGAGAAATATATTCAACACTTTAGGGACAAAAAATGATACAATTAAAATATTGAGTTCTAAAATAAAACAAACTTTATACTTTGGGGACTTTTAATGTAATTAATAAAAAAAAAAAAACTTAAAAAATTCCCGCCAAAAGACTTTCCCGCCAATTCAAAAAACAGTCGAAGCCTCCAATTCTTCTATTGTGAAAATTTTGAAACATTTCGCGCCAAAAGCCACTGATACAAGAACACCCGCCTTTCTCATCTAGTCTCATTTCGTTCTTCAGAGAGTGAGAGAGAGAGAGAGAGAGGATGGCAAAATCAGTGACCCCGGATGCGATTTCCACCATACTATCAAACCCATCTCCAGATTCTTCGTCTGATATTCCAGAAATCGTCGTTCAGCTCGTAGATCTCAAGCTTACTGGGAAGAAATACACGTGAGAGTCGCTATCCTTACACTCTGTAGTATAATTTTGTTCTTTGGTGGTTATATTTTTCCCTTTACCAAGTTTTCTTTTTGTTCTATTTTTGCTATTGGGAGAAACTAATAAATAGAAAGACAACATTTGAAGTTTGTTTGTGCTTTATATTTTTGGTTTGGGTTCTGTTAGCCAAGGAAAAAAAAGTTTGAGGTGAATGCTTGTGTTTTCTGTAAGTTTCGTTGATTAATCTTAGGTAAATCATAGATTAAAAAAAAAAAATAAATAAATAAAAAGAGCTCGATTAAGAAAGAATCAGTGCACGAGCTCCTCTTATTACCTGAATTTGATTACCTTGATTAAATTTTTAGGTTGTGCTTTCAGATGGGAAGGTCTTAAATCTAACTTTTATTGGTGTTTTTGAATCCCTGTCTGATCTCTCAAACCAGGCTTAGTGTAGCCTATCTATGTTATTTGCTTAATTGTTTGATGTGCCATTAACAAGTTGTCAATTGATTATTTATGTGTAATGTATCTTCAAGGTTTCAATTTTTGAAACTAGGCATGTTTTTTCCAAATTGTCATAACTGCATTTCAATTTTTTGTGATATATCTCAATTGATATGATTTTTTGTGATATCTGTAGCTATTGATGGTGACCTATATTGGTTTTAGATAATTTTAATCCTTGATTTGACTTATTTGTTTATGTATGTATCTATGTATCCCTTCCCTCCCATTTCAGTAAGAATTGATGTGTTTGGTCTATCTTAAAATGTATTTCACTTGTGATTTACTTTCCATTGTCAAGTATTTTATTGTCCTTTCATTATTTGGTTGCAGGTTCATGGCTAGTGATGGAAAGATGAAGCTCCGAGCAATGTTGCAGTCTAGTTTGTCATCTGAAGTCCTCTCGGGAAGTATTCAGAATTTGGGTCTCATTCGCCTTCTTGATTACACGTTGAATGATATCCCAGGCAAGAATGAGAAGTAAGAATTGTTGCTGCCTCTACTCTTGAAAAAAACCCCTTTTACTTTTCTTGCGTCACTATTCTTGTAAAGGTATAAAGATGATTTAGTGTATTCTTTAATTGAATAGGTATTTAATTGTCACAAAATGTGAGGCTCTCTCTCCAGCACTTGACGAGGAAATCAGAACTTCGGTTAAAAGTGAAGAAATTGACATTCTATTTGAGCCAAAACAAGAAATTAATGTCCAGGGTGAGGTTAAAAGAGAACAGACTGGCATCTCTTTGAAGCCAAAGCAAGAAGTGGTTACCAAATCAGCTGCTCAGATAGTACATGAACAGAACGGAAAGTAAGCACTTTGTCCTATCGTAACTTATGCTTATCCAAATTTGCAGAAAACTGACACTGATGCTGCATTATGTGTTATATCAGTTATGCTTTTGACAACTTGTTTAACCATAATTCATCGAAATAAGAAAGAGTATCAAAACTTGGAACTCTGTATTACTTAAGTACACCAGGGAAGATAGTGAGATTTAGTATTCTTTGAGTATCACGAGCCGGTCAACTTATGAGTTAATCTACCTTCAAATCTTTGATTTTCTGAATTCCAGTATGGCACCTGCTGCACGAATGGCAATGACAAGAAGGGTTCATCCACTTGTTTCCTTAAATCTTTATCAAGGAAATTGGACCATAAAAGTACGGGTTACAGGCAAAGGAAACATGCGTACATATAAAAATGCTAGAGGAGAAGGTTGTGTCTTCAATGTAGAGCTTACAGACGAAGATGTAAGTGACATACCATTTTATCAATTTCTTTGACATATGTTGAACCATGTTTTGGAATAAGTGGAATGATAGATGTGACAAATCATTTTTTATGGTGCAGGGTACACAAATACAGGCAACAATGTTCAATGAGGCTGCAAAAAAGTTCTATGAGAAGTTTCATCTGGGGAAGGTCTATTACATATCAAAGGGAACTCTAAAAGTTGCTAACAAGCAGTTCAAGACTGTTCAAAATGACTATGAAATGACCTTGAATGAATATTCTGAAGTGGAAGAGGCTAGTAATGAGACAACTTTTATTCCTGAAACAAAATTCAATTTTGTTCCAATTGATCAGTTGGGTCCATATGTCAGTCGGAATGAGCTTGTGGGTAAGATTCCTTGATTGAAGCCTTTGATCTGTTTTTTCTATGCTCAGACATTGTTCTGTGAATTCAGAAGATACTTTCCCAACTGTATGAATTGTAGATGTTATTGGTGTGGTCCAAAGTGTATCTCCTACAATGAGTATTCGAAGGAAGAGTGACAACGAGACAATTCCAAAGCGTGACATAACTGTTGCAGATGAGACGTAAGCTATCTTCTATGTTCTTCCATCACAGTTTTTGGGTTTTGTTGTCTTATATGGTAAACTGAAACTTTTCCTATGATTTTCCAGGAAGAAGACTGTTGTGGTGTCCCTATGGAATGATCTTGCTACCAATGTAGGTCAAGAATTGCTAGATATGGCCGATAAATCTCCTGTAATTGCAATTAAATCACTAAAAGTTGGGGAGTTTCAAGGTAGTATAAATTTTCTTGTGCTGCTCATCAGGCATGCTTAATGAATGGCTATTCAGAAGTTAGTATCCAGTCAGTTTCATAAGATGCTCTATGTTTGCAAAATCTCAGGTGTATCTTTGTCATCATTGAGCAAAAGCATTGTAATGGTAAACCCAGACATTCCTGAATCCAAAAAGTTGAGATCTTGGTAAGAATTGTCCTAAAGGTGTTTTAAGTTGTTCATTCCCTAGGCAACATTTATTTCCTTTTTCTTTTGGTAAAATTCATCATGCCTTTCAAATTTTATCACCGTCTTATTTACAGGTACGATGCTGAGGGGAAAGAAACGTCAATGGTGTCTGTTGGTTTGGGCATGAGCCCATCAACCAAGAGCGGAACACGATCATTGTACTCTGACAGAGTCTCACTTTCTCATATAACTAGTAACCCATCCTTGGGTGAGGACAAGGTATTGGTATTGTAGCTGTCAGCTCTCCCCAGAATATTATGATATTATATGAACCTTCCTCTGGGTGACAAGTTCCCAAGTATATGTGAAAGTGTGAAGAACTATAAAAAAATCATACGTAATAAAATGAGCATACTTTTTAGAAAATTAAGTTGTTAACATATGAGTCAAAAACGTGGATATGCCCTCACAGCTTTGGCAAATCTTAAATGCTGTTTCAGTTTTAGATTGTCACACTTGATGTAAACTGGTAAATTGTTAGAATATTGTGAAAATTGATTTTCAGTTGGTTCATGATAACTCTGATCCAACATTCTGAGCTCTAATGTAAAAAAGTTCTGTTTTACAGCCTGTGTTTTTCAGCATAAAGGCATACATAAGCTTCATAAAGCCTGATCAGCCAATGTGGTACCGGGCTTGCAAGACATGCAACAAGAAAGTTACTGAATCCATTGGTTCTGGGTACTGGTGTGAAGGATGCCAGAAGAATGATGAAGAGTGCAGCTTGAGGTTTGAAACTTTATAAATCAATCACTGCAGTAGTAGCTTGTCAAAGCTGTTATGCAAGTGCCATAATCTATCACTCTTTGTTGTATTCAGGTATATAATGGTAGTTAGAGTTTCTGATGCAAGTGGTGAAGCTTGGCTCTCTGTGTTCAATGAACACGCGGAATATATACTTGGGTGCTCTGCAGATGATCTTGACAAGTTGAAATCCCAGGTAAGTTATCCATACACGTGAAACTCTTCCAATGCCTACTGAGACTGTTGTACACATCATGGGGAGAGATATAAATCTAGCTATAATAGGAAAGTAGTTTCTAATTTACTTTTACAATTTCAGGTGGGAGAAGAAAATTCTTACCAACTCAAATTGAAAGAAGCTACATGGGTACCTTATCTTTTCCGAGTTAGTGTTACAACAAATGAGTACATGAATGAGAAAAGGCAAAGAATAACGGTTAGAACAGTTGCTCCAGTTGATTATGCAGCTGAAGCCAGATCTTTGCTTGAACAAATATCAAAGATGAAAGTCTCTCAATAGGTGGCTTGATTCATTCTCAGAATTGCTAATCTAAGCAGCAAACACGAAGGCCAAATCTAATTAGAGATCGACTGTACTTGAGGTTCTCATACCAGTGCCTCTGGTATATATATATGTATGTATTTAGTCATGCTGTATTTTGACAATTGACTCTCATCTAATGAATGAATTATGTTCTTTCTACTTGGATGTTCAGCTTGAAGTCATTTTGAGTAAACCATTCATAATGCTTATTTTCTTTAGTTTGTAGAAGAATAACTTGTCTATTGCCTTCATAAGAGAAGTAGATTCTAATTTAGTTAATCAGACACTGGAGACAATACATAGATACACAGCTCAAAAGAAGGTATTGCTTTCAACTTAGTGTAATTGATGTGTTCTTCAATAACTAGTGATGTTACTTATGAAATATGAATAAAAAGTTGTATTATTGCATATGCAATTTTAGACTAGTATTGCTGCTAGGGAAAGTTCAGCAATAAGATACTCTAGTTTGACTGTCTTCTATAAATGAGTCTGTAGTGAAACCAAGTCAAGGTTTTAGCAGGTGAGAGTATAACAAAGGTTGTAGGTAGGGTTTTAAACCAAATGCAGTGGGTGGGTTGTGAGGTGGACTTGGACGTAATCCATGTTATAAAGCCCCTAATCTGAACATAACTTTAGCACGAATATTATAACACAAGTATTGCTCGTGCTTAAATTTTTGAATTTGAATTTTGATTTTGGATTAACATTACTTGTATGGAAATTTGCGTTTGGCTTGAATTTACAAAATTGATTTGTTGAGTCCCATAAATCTTATACCTCAACCTAACTGCCCGTATTCAAATTCAGTTGGATTAATCTGTCCAAGCATAACCCAAGTATTATAAATCTCCATCTAAGTACTGAATTCAAATCAGTTTCAATTTGGATTGAAAGTGCAAAGTTCAATGCAACAAGCCAACAAATCCAAGAGAGAGGCTAAGCAGACATCCCACTATGCAGTCTTGAAAATTTTCAACATAAGAATTAATCATTTACTCCTTGTGGTCGAAGAAATTAGATCTTCCTATTGCTTGGTGGGAAGGGTTCAAGATGCAATGTATTATAAAGTATCAGTTCTCCAACAAGGAGATAAGGAGTTAGCAATTTGGTAGCAACTGTTTGGATTGTATCTTCCTCTGTCTCTCCTTGACTATCTCTACTTTGGTCTTAGACGGACCTAATACACACACGGGAGGCAACGAATAAGAGCTCTCCAGCAAATCTATGACTGCGAGCTCTTCAAATCTATTGAATTCTTCGGTGATTGTTTGAATCTGTTGATTTCTTTGACGATTGCTTTGAATCTGCTTCAGATCTTTTTTTTTCCCGACAGCTTCAAGATTTGCTTCAACAAAGGTTGAAATTTTCTTGTTACATTTTTTTTCCCATTTTAACATGTTTAATATATTTTTTTGTATCCAAATGGGGTTTACAATTTTCTGCTCTGTAGAATTATTTTTAGAATCATGTAAGTCATAACTAAACAAGTTATGCGATACAAAAATATTAAAACAATTTTTTAGAACTCTTCTCAAAAACATGTTTTCGAATACTGTTTTCTCTGAAAAGCATCCAAACAAGCCTCAATTTTTTATTTTTTTTTTGACACAGACAACAACTATATTCATAGCTGTGCATTTTACTCTGATCACAACTTTTAGTACATACTTTTTTGACAGTCTCTTGCCAACTTAAAAATTTGCCATATGTATTGGAGGCGAAAGACTACCCTACCAACACTAGGGTATCATAGATCTATGTTGTATGCATTTATAATACTTTTTCAGAGCTTCAATCAACATTCAACAATATTTGATATAATCGATGGTTGGACTTGGACAAGATTATCATGTAGGTGGAATGTGTAAATGACAGCAATCTGAGTCATATGGTTGCAACAAGTAATGCGTAGAAAATTTCCCAAAAAAACATTCTTAACTCGAGAAACTAGAAATTCTGGAACTACTACGACGACCAAAATTGATTATTTGTTGGCTGCCAAACTTAGATTCAGAATTTATCAAAAAAAAAAACTTTAGATTCAGAAGAAAATGTTTAAGAAAAACTGATAAATCTAATCAACTACCTCATGTCTTTCTATACTTTGCGAGCATAGATGAAATCTTATGCAGTAGTTTAGATGCATCGTCTTCATTCTGGGATAAAGGAGAGGTCAATTCTTGGTAACGGTGGAGGCTGCCCGTGAAGTCTGTAAAGAGTCCATCAACTCCAATCTTGTTTAGCCAGTAATCATATTCCAAATATGGGTCTTGATTGAAGTTTAAATGTAAGAACGAGTTCTCATTACGGTACGTGTATGGGTGCACCTGGAATGAATTAACAAGGAAAGTGAATATTTCAGCAAACATGTATGAAGTTAAATAACAAATGAAACCTGAACCACACCCTAGTTGAAGAAAACCAGTAGAGAAATAGGAACAATTGCAACGATTACCCAATTTGCATATGACTATAACCATTAAAAGCCAAGCAACACAACTTTAGCATTCAAATAGAGCTTATTCCTTTCAAAATGATTACAGAAAAGCACAACTAGGATGTCTTTCCTAAACCCAAGACAATGTTGTTCCATTTGGAAAGCATTGGACACTCGTGTTATCCCAAAGAGTTTCAAAATCCCACTCTCAGATAATGCAACTAATTGAATAAACCAATCAAACACATCCTACAAAAGAGATGAGATCTCAATTACCTGAAGAACTTTCCCTTAAAATATCAATTAAACTAGGAGAAATTTCAATTATTCCTGAAAATTTTCCTGGAGAACTTGGGACTTGAAAGGGGATGAAAGGGCATACTGTGCCGGCTCATTTGGTTACCGTATTATAGAAGAAATGATTGTATTAGATAACACAGGTTAATTCTATATAAATGGATAAAATAAAAAATTAAATGAGATAAAAATACTATTCATTGTTATCTAATATTTGGTAAGATATTGGATTAAGAATGGGATAATAGAATACTAATTACATATTGACCAAAAAATTATCAATTTTTTCTGGTTACTAATATTTGTCTAGTTGATGAAAAAAATAATAAATTTATAACCTAATATGTTTGAACTGAATTATAATACCACCTCTCCAGGTAGTATTACAATTGACTCAATAGTACGGGCCGGGTGTATTATTCATATACTTATACGAAATAAGCCAATATATAATATGGAGTCCTTTTGGCAACCAAATGTAGTATAGTTTTAGATTAGTGTGTTTTAATCTGTTATAATTCCGTAATCCATCATTTAATACTACAATGGCCTTCACAAAATTTGTAATGCCAGGAAATGGAGGTCAAGCACATAAAAGCTGACAAATTAGCAGTTGGTTTTCATTTCAAAGGAGTTTCTTATGTAAAGAAATAGGGTCTTTGGGGAGTACAACAAAATGAATCATGAGTGGTGACAGAATGTTTCGGAACTCCCATCACTGGGAAACATGGATGTGCTTATTTGTCATGCTCAATATACTGGTCAAATCTACATGGCGATCTCGTTTTCTTTGACATTAGTAATACATCACACAACTAAGTGGTAAATAGAGCAGGTTTATTTAGTTAGGCCTACGTGATCATTGTCCAAGGAATGACAATCTGGATGAAACTTCATGCAACGAGTTCCCATTTTACCAAAGTCAAGCCTGAATATTTGTTAACATAACAAAGTGATACTTATTAGAAAATGGATCATTAGGACAAATGGAAAAGACATAACCTAGTATAAATTTGTTCTTAAAACTATCACATAGATAAGTTCAGATACAGAGCACGCGTACCTGTAGGTTACGGGCATGTGCACGGGCAACAAGATCAGTAGGTGTTTGCAGATAATTGTTTGAAACAGGAACCACGGTATCCTTCCAAGGTCCAATCCCAACAACATATTCCTTGATGAAGTCAAGGTAACTATCCGAAGTAATTTCCCAATATGACTGTAGATCCCAATAGTTGCATTATTTTCTCAGTTAACACACGAATAATTTTAAAGTGAAAAAGTACTTGCAAAGAAAGACAAATAAAAACAGAATTTGTAGCACTAAATAAGGTGGTGAAATTTTCATTTCTCGGAATCTGACATACTAATCCAACGAGATATTTATTTGGGAAATCTTAAGGTAACAGAGATTGGAGCAGACCTTGAGCCTTTGTCATGAGTAGGCATGATGATGCTTGACTTTCTAGACAGAATGTTATTGTTTATATATGATTATCACCACAAATAGTCCATTTGTATTGAACTAAACTCTCTTCTTTTTGTGTATAAACAGAATTTTATGGCTACTTGTAGATCATATTTGAGATACAGTTCACATTAATATTTGGTTACAACTTCAGCTAACATTCAAAAAGCAAAAACCAAATAGGAGAAACCTGATTTGTGTCTTCAGTATATATAGTCACATCATCAATAAGGAAGATCTTAGGCAGGTCTGTCTGGTTTGATATGTAAATTAGTGAAGATGGGGCAAAGGATTGAATAAACACTGGTTGTTTCAACCATTCCTTCGACATATATGAACCTCTGTATCCATACATCATAAGCGTATCAACAAATTTGTCCTCAAATCTCTTACCACCAGACCATTTCACCTGTTGAGAAAAGTAATAAACATAAAAGTTCCCTAAAATCAATGTAAAACTGCTATTTTTTCTTTTTCTATCTCCTCATAAAACCATTCTTCGTAACAGTCTAATAGCACGATTGGGGAAAACCACTCACATGCTTGTTAATAAAAACTGGGTTTTTTATTTCTGGATATATTCCAACAATTCTGGGAGCAGCCAATGCAATTGAAATGAACTCTTCAAAAGTGACAATAGGAAATTGCCCTGCACAGCATGGAAAACCAAAATCACAGGGACCATTAATTTATAGATTTATGAAAGAGAAAGATTTCTTCTACAAACACTAACAGGGCACATGCATAATATGTAAAATAAGATAATCTGATTATCTTACATTAAGAAGATATAATATATCAAGGCCTAGTGTAAATTGACTCGAGCCACAATCAAAGGGAAGCTAAACCATTTTTTATGATAAATATCATGACTTCATGAAAGAGAACAAAGTGAGGATTTTTAGTCACAGTCAGTTACGACAACGGGTCTGAATGAAGTGGACATAACCTAGAAGGGCATGCAGTAAAATTTCAGAAAAGATAGGAAGAATCGTTGAAGTTAAACCTATCTACAAAGGGTGTGGTTGAAATTTATCCAAACAATTTTGTTGAAACTGTTGAAAATCAAGTCACTTGACAAATAGACAGAATTGAGAATTGGGCTACAGGTGTTGATTACTTTTTAGAATTACAAACCTGAAGCCGACTCAGAAAATATATATTCAGGCATAACCAAGTGTAACTGTAAATTGAACGGATGACATCAACTAGTAACTTGCGGCCAAAGCATAGAAGGTATATTATTTCTTTCTTGTACAATGATTGTTAGCCAAAATATATTCAATTTCTATTAACGACATATTTCCCTAGGTTTGACAACTTCGTGATGCAAGAAGTTCATAAGAAGCAATTATAATAAATGACGACAGCTTATAAGACTCTGAAGTTCACTGATATTAACCAGCATTCTTAGGTATAAAATGGTTTTATTTGCTGGCTTTACACAGACTATTTTCACCTCAAAAGCATTAAAAGTAGAAGAAACAGAAACCTGATCTCGTGACATTCACTCCATTAAACTAACTAGGTCAAACCACGAAATCATATACAACAATAATATTCAAGCCACTAACGTTACAAGGTCTAACCCAACCCAACCCAACCAAGAGTATGGCAAGTTAGGTCATAGTTGTTTAACTGTGTTTGATTGAGTTCAAAACTGGAGCAAGCAAAGGTTGGGTTTGGCATCATTGAGGCCCTGGGCAACTGGATCAAACCTAGGTCCAGTCACATAGGCTGACTTTCTTGGAAGCCATCAAAATAAGTAATTGCAAAATGGTCTCATCAAATCACTAGCTTTACAAGAATCCATTTCCTATGTCATATCGGACAAGCTGCTTGATGTATACACTGGGACTTTATTCTAAAAATCAGGCATACAGAAATGTTTCATAAATGTACATATTGATTGGCAAACCAAAAAAGACTCCGCCTATGATTCAATCCAACAAACTTAAAGTGAAGTAAGAGCTACTTGATCATCAAGTATAGTTCGACTTGGTTTTTCTTCAACTTGATCCAGTGTGTGCCTTATTTGTAATTCTGAAGCCAGTAGGTCTTGCTATGACTCAGCCAGTTACTCAAGTAACTATAACAAATATCTGTTGGAATTATTAACATTTATTGTAATTTTTTTTTATTTCCTTCCAATTTTTTGCTAAATGATACTCGACTAGGAAAGTTCATGGTGTAAGGATTACCATGCAATGTCGATACACGACAATTTGTCCAATTTAAAATTTTTTTTTATCATGGCATGCACCAAATCACAAACTAGACACAATCCTTTTTTTTGTCCCCTGAACTGCAGCTAGAAACAATCTGAAAGTGGAGAGATAACATCGATAGTAATGAGAGAAAACATTAGGACTACAGAAGGAGGGTCAAATTTAGTGAATCCAAAAGAGGACTTACCGTTATATTGTTGATCCCGGAATGGATATCTCTGCTTTGCCCCTAATGACATCAGTTCTTTTAGAGTGAAATCAACTGCAAGCGGTAAAAAATCATTAATTATTTCCATAAAAATCAAATAATGCGATGAAAATGGTATCGCATAATGAGGGTAATAGTAGTTGACCATCCGCATCCAAAGATACAGACACAGCCAAAATACTAGTTATGGTAACTATAACATCGCACTTAGCACTATTTAGCAAAGAAATGATCATTTTCGGTAACATAAACAATGAGGATCACCATGTTCCAAGTATAAGCATAGGGTTTCAAGCCTGAAAAAATGGGTTTGAAGTTGCTGACAACCACTTTTGCACAAACATGGCCAAGGGGTACATGAGCTTGAGGGGCATAGTGTCCATACCAGTAAAATAGCCAGTTGTGTTAACACCTTGGACCTCATAAGTCCTCTTTCGGTTTGCGAACTCCTTGTGTTCTGCTATATCAGTTGTATCATCAAGGGTTACATCATGGTGGCATATAAGAACTCCGTCTTTGGAGGCTAAGATATCTGTTTCTATAAAGTCAGCACCTTCTTCAATGGCTCTCTGTGGAGATATCATTTGAGGAACAAGTTATGTAAAAGATGAGGCAGAATAAGTGAAACTAACGCAGAAAATATTGTGGAAACGAATCTAGTTTTATCATCAGTGGTGGAAACACCAAAAGACTCGACATGTTGGAAGACAAAATATTCAAAGTAAAGAATTTGTGATCAAACTTCAGACACAAGAAAACACCAAAACCATGCTTTTTTGACGATTGATAGTCACTAAGAAATTTGGTGAGTTGCACCACTACTATCAGTAGGCAAGTCTAATTCTTCTATGTTTTCTCAATCCTTGCATTCTTCTTTCTTATGTGGCAGTGTACACATGAATTTCGGGAAACATGGTAGCTGATTTCTTGTTTGGCATTCTTCTTTCTTGTTTAACACTGATTACCCACAATGGTAGCTAATCCATTTTGCAAAGTTTTGAAAAAAATTGGTAGTTAATGTCTTTAGAGCTGACTATAAAGAATTGGCTAATGTCCAAAAATCAAGTTATAAAAACAACAAGAAAGAATCGATGGACTTGCAAACTGCACAGGCACAAAACGTACCATGTATGCAGCAGCAGTTTCTTCAGGAAATTCTCCATTGGAACCTCGATGTGCTAGATTAAAGGGGCGAAAAGTCTGTAGGGGCTGTTTATTTTTACCATTGCTGCTAGGGAGTGTAAAGAGAGGCCTTGCACAACACCCACTGAGGAGTAGCAGAAAAATGAAAGGGGCAACACCTGCCAAGTGCATTACCAAAACAATATGCCAGTAAATGTCACCAAAAATAAATTTTGCAACACACATGTGATACCAAATTTGTAAGGTTAATGTAGCATGCAGAAGGGGATCCCCTGAGATTAGCATTCTTCTGTTTTACTAAGTCAATACTTTGTAAATTGAGGATATGTGCTGATGCATTTTGAATGCCCATCACAAATTCATCACTAATATGCATGGAATTCTTCATGCCCGAGCGAAATACCATTAAGTTGCATTTCTTCAAACCACAATTCTATAAATAAAAAATTGCCAGTAGATGACTCCCGAAACTAATCCTATATCATTTCCTTAAGGTCTATACTGTTCCATAGATTAAGAGTAATTTTCCAAATAAATCCTCATCAATTCTTAATATTGTACATCCAGTATAGCAGCTAGCTACATCATGCCAAATCCCATGAATAAGCACAGTATTTAACCAGTAATTTCCTCTAAACACAGGGCTGATTTGGTCTAAATATAATTGAATGTGATACTGCCATTTCCCAAAATTTTGTAAGTCTAGAGTGATATATTTGGCCAACACAAATTTTCCCAACAAACAATTAACAACCAAAGACAATCTCAGTATTCAGCATCAAACCACCCAAAATAGGAGAAAAAGGTTCAAAAGAAAGTAAGAAACACAACAAAGCAAACCAAACAATAAACCATAACCCAAACACCAAAGTACAAAACCACTTCAAACGCATCTATTTCCATACACTATAAGCATTCACATTCATGTATATAACAAAACCATGAAGGAACCAAAGAGTTTGGTTCAACTCTGAGATTTTGATGCTTACCATATGACACCATTTTCTTCCTCTCTCTCTCTCTCTCTCTTTATGTGGTTCTGCTCCCTTGACTTCTTTTCTTCTTGACGACCCTTTTTATAAACAAAAACCAAAGTACACGTTAAAAGATGGGTCAGTACATTGTGTATCCGTTAGCCATTTATAATGGTGGGTGGGAGATGCGTGTCCCCTGTATTTACTTGTGATTCTAAGAAAATTATCTGACTAGATGCTATTCAAGATAGACAATGGTAGAGAGAGAGAGAAAGAGAAATATGATTATCATATGTGTTCGTGATTTTCCTGTTTCAGAAAAACTAAGCTAGAGGGTAGTATTGGTGTTACATTAGGAGTCTACTTTTGAAACGGTTTGTTGGCTTTTGAAAACTTGTTTGGATATGACCTATCCATTTGTTGTTTGATTCTCGGTGAGATAAGGTTTGGGGAATCTTCCTTCTATTTTCTCTCTAATTATTTTCTTGGTTGATTGCATATTATTTATTTAAGTTGGACTAATTACATTTAATAATGAATGATTCATCAAGAAAAAAATTAAAAAAAAAATGTATTAGAGAAGTTCTGTACTCAATATTAAGATACCCAAAATTAATTTTCCATTCCATATATTGAAAATGATATTTAATCAATTCACATTCATTTTAGTATTGGTCTGTCAATTTACTCAATGTTATTATACTTATATCTCTATGTGTTAATAATAATAAATTGGGTTAATTGTACTAAATGTTCTTAAAATATGAATTTATCTCACTTTAGTCCCAATATTTCAATTGTATTATTTTAGTTCCTGAAGTATTGAATATGTTTCTATGTGATCCTTCAAATAGACAACGTCGAAATTGTTAACGATTTTTATTATAAATTTTTACGTAATACTTAAATATGAGTAAAAAAATAATTTGGATAAATTTTGACCAAATTTCTACTCAAATTTTGATAAAAAAAAGTTACCAAAATAATATAATTTTGATCATGAGTTATCTAAATTTTGGTCAAGAATTATTCATATTACGCATTTTTTGTCAAGAGTTAACCCAAATTTTGGCTGAGGTATCCAAACTATTTTTTGCCTATATTTAGATATCATGTGACAAGTTTATGATAAAAAAATCGTTAGAAATCTGGATGTTGTTTGCTTGAAAAAACACATAGATACATATTCAATATTTTTAAGAATAAAAATGATGTAATTGAAACATTAAAAATCAAAATGAGACAAATCCTATATAAATTTACTAGTAATTGCCCATACCTGAAGGTACTATGTAATAAACAAAAAAAAATTGCATATAATTGTCCATATTAAAAAAGAAAAATGATCTAAAAACATTCATACTAATTATTCTTTTAAAATGACTCGCCCCCATATTATTGGAACTATCATAAAAATGAACAAAAAACTCCCCAAGCAACACCACAGATATATAATTACCTCAGGGAAAAAAAAATACTAACAGAACCAAATCAAATTTATAATTTTTAAGTAATAAATAAAATCAATAAAATTTATCAGAATCATGTATTCGTCACCATTATTGTCAGTCAATTCAATAACAGAATATAATTACAAACTCAATCCACCCATGTAAATATCTTAAACAAAAAACTGCCCACAAATGCAACCATCTATATAATAAAAATAAATTCACAAATGTTGTCAAAAAAATAAATTTTGCTATTTAAAATTTCACCAGCTTCCAAAAGAATGGAATCAAATTTATAATCGTAAATTAAGAAATGTAATAAAATCAATCAAAATCAAGATATAAACAATATAGTTGTATCATATGACATTTAACAACAATCAGCTAATGTCAAAGCATCTACAACTAAAGCAACACAAACATTAAACATTATAACCAATAAACTCTTGCCAAAACATACACCACTAACATTTGGTGCAATTGATTTCATGTACTTTTTTTTTATATTGGTCGCTTATTATATTTTTATTGGTAATTGACTTGACTTTGATTTTTTATTTTATTTTTTTAGTGCGGTTAGTAGTGATTTATTTTTGGTATAAACAATAGCTTGAAACTCTTATTTATGGATTGTATATTTATATTTTTGTTTGTGTGAAAGTGGTGATAACGATTAGATTGATTTTGAATTTTTTTCTACGACTGCAATTGGTTTCAATTGTTTTGTTTTTGTTGGTCACTTGCTATTTTTTTAATTTATACTTTTTGTTTGCGTAGAAGAATTGGTAATTAGCTTGAATTTTATTTAATTTTTTTTGTTTTTTTGGTGTAATTGGTATCACTTTTTTTTATTGGTAATTACCTTGGACTTTGTGTTTTTCGGATCAATAATCGTCAAGTAATTTGAACCGCGATAAGTTAAAAATAAAAAAATCTAACTACTTTATTAAATAGATGGACTAGATTGTTTGAGAAATTTTTTCTAGTAAAAAAATAATTTGGATAACACTTGATCAAATTTCTATCCAAATTTTAGTAAAAAAGCTATCCATATTATACAGTTTTGATCATAAGCTATTTAAATTTTGGTCAATAATTACTCATATTACACATTTTTTTTGTCAAAAAGTACCCAAATTTGGGCCAAGAGGTACTTAAGTTATTTTTTTCCTATATTTAGGTATTACATAACAAGTTTATAATAAAAAAAACGTTAAAAATTTGAATGTTGTCTGCTTGAGGGAGTACATAGAAACATATTTAATATTTTAAAGACCAAAATGATGTAATTAAAATATTAGGGATTAGAATAAAATAAATCTTATATTTTGAGAACCTCAAGTACAATTAGCCTATATACATTTATGGGCAAGAATTTTTTTCTATTTAAATCTTATTTTTTTTAATTTTAAATTACTTAATAGAAGCGTTTCTATCTTTTTCAATAGAAATGTTTTGTCTTGTATGTAATTACTTTCAACTCTTTTTGATAATTCTTTCTCTTTTGAATTTCACACCATCTTTACTAATTACTACATATTTAATCATTAGCATGGGATGGGTTGAGATAAAGGTGGAGGTGGGGGTGGGGGTGGGAGTGGGAATAGAGTGACAATAGAGAGAGATTGTAAAATGTGTATTGTGGAGGACACCATTAGTATCATTTATATGAATCAAATCTACCATACTCAAAAAGTTTTTTTCAGTTAATCTATCATAATCAAGTTGATTCCTCATTGTCACATGATTAGTAATTTAGTACTTTGCTCGATCCTTATCCTGGAAATTATCTCTTTCAGTGCATTATCATTCTAGAAAAAAAATTATTACTTCTCTCAAATAAAAACAGAGAAAAAAATTAACTTGATTTGTGATTGACTCAGATACATATGAGACGATTTGATTGTCCCGTATGACACTAGTCTTGGATTTTTCGGGTCGTCGAAAAATGGCGCGACTTGGAACCATTTATCTTAAAAATTAAGTGAAAGTAACGCCCGGGTGGTGTGTCTACGTCCAAATTTGAAGGCTTCCATACATAACATGTATGATTGAATTTAGGGATATTAAAATATAATACAATTTATTAATACGATATAAATACGATACGAAATTAGAAGATTTGAATTTTCTTGAAACCAACCATTTTGAAAAAGAGTGGACTCAACATATCACGATTAATAAACGAATTGAATATGAGTGAAGCCAATAAAAAAAATACTGCATAAGTTGTTTATATATCAAATTATATACAATTCATATATGTCACGATTTATTACATACAAATTAATAAGTAAATTATATATAAATTAAATATTTTTTGACACGAATCTGTTAAAACCTACGAAAATTCTAACTCACCCGAGACAATTAAGAAGCCTAAGAACAGTGTTGATGTTTGGTCAAACTAGACAAAACATGAGTCCTATTATTACCCTATATTTGTCCCCAGCAAGTACAAAGCTTCCCCTATTTTTTTTTTTTTTGTCTTTTTAATAACTTTTTAGCATCCTTATAATTTTTCATGATGTCCAATAATGTAAATCTAAATGCGAATTCGTATATGATATATTTTATGTATTCAAATTGGAAGGATAAATACTTGAATCAATTGAATTTTATTTTTTTTACATTGGATTTGAATTTGAATCTATACTATATACTAAAAGAATTAATTTAAGAGAGAGTATTTAAGAAACCTTTTTATCCCTAAATTATATTCTCTCTTAATTTAAAATAACTTAATAGTGACGCATTAGCCACTTTCAATTAAATTCTTCCATATGACCTATTTAACCTACTTTTAATATTTTGAATAATTATTTCATATTTAAATTTTTTACTATCACTAACTACTTTGTTTTTAAATATTTTTAAAAAATTAATTCGGTACTAGCTAGTGCAATTAGGGTATTTTCGATGGCTACCTAATTGTGATGTCATCCGGACAATCTCAACTAGTTGACATCTAATTGCCTCGGGGATGAGATTGTCTTAGGGGTGGTAGCATAATGAGATTGGGGGTGATAGTAAAAAAATATTGTAAATTCCGTACATTGCCCGACTAGAATAAACTATGAAAATGAAACCCGCATAAACCTTAAACTTGAGTTTTAATTGCAATTTGATTGGTCAAAATCTAATCTGTTGATAGACCCAATTACTGACCATGTCTAAATAGCATCTCCCTTAAGCCACGATGGTTATGATTTAAACAGCTTTAGCAACATAATCTAAGCTTACTGCCATCACCTAATTATGTGTTTGATATTGATTTGTCTTTTTTTTTTTGGGTATTGCAGGGGTGTTTGCATCAAGTTATGTGCACCTTGATTAATTATCTTTTATATCCGATCCAAGACAAACTATCTACGTCGAGACTAAGGAATAATGAGGGATAAATCTCTAATGACCTTACGAGAGATTGCCAAATTTCAAACTCTGGCCGTTTGTGTTTACGGCTTGTCCCAATCATGGTTCAAAGTATCGACCGATACCGATACGAATTGATCGAGTCGTATCCACCTCGTCACCTTTCGAGACGATACCATTTTATGATATAAAAGTCACCTTTCGAGACGATACCTCAGATGATTCGGTAGAGTCACTGACTTGTATAAAAGTCACTGAATTATCGTCATCGAATAGGCCAATACGGCTCTGCGATGTCGTAGTATGACTTGAATCTCTTGTCACATTCAATATTTTTTTTTAGGTTGTATCGTCCGATACCTCGCCGCGTCCAATATATCTCACAACTCTCTAAATCGATGACCAATACCGCAACCTTAAATTATGGTCCCAGGCTTACTAGACAACCCCCGGGGTTGATGGCAACTAGGCAAAACAAACTAATCACCAACTCAAAAGTCATGAACACCTTAACAGAGAATTTATTTTTTTTCATTCTCTGATTTGAGACTGTAATTGCATTGTTAAGAGTTCTTCCATAAAAATTGCATCAATCTATCTAAATAGCCCAAGCAAGAGTCTATCATTTATGCCACTCTCCTCTCCAAAAGCACAAAAAAGGTCCATCCTCTCAACACTCTCGATTAACTAGGACCAAACTAGGTAATGATCGTTGCGCTTTTGGAGAGGAGAGTGAACCTATGCCAGATTACTCTCATAACACATATAGCAGAAAAACACACAACAATGACAAAGAGCTCCAAAACATACAATTTTCCATCTATACCATATGTGGAGTTCTTTAGATGCTAGTTTTCAGCAGAATAGGAAAATATAAGGTAAACCTTGACAACATCACATATGACGTTTTTATTTTTTCATAATAGAAAATAGTCCGAACCACGCACCCTAGCTTATGAAGGGTTGCTACTTGAGAGGACATTTTTTCAGTCTTAGCATAGGGAAAAACAAGGAGGTGGAAATTAAGAAGCTACTTAGTAGAGTATGAGTCTTCTTTACCTAAGTTGCAGACTCTTTAATAGGGGTGACAATTGCAACCACCACCATTACTTATATGGAGTTTGCCACGACTTTAATTTGCTTCATCGGGTTCTCCACCTCAGCGCCACTGGCATGCATCACAAACTCTGCCGGAGTGAGAAACTTTCCATGGCAAATGCACACAATACACACTTTCCCGTTCCTGTACTTAAACAGGAACCCTTCAATTTTTCTGCCATTCGGGTCACCTCCAGTAGTAGTTACGGTGGGCATTGATTTTATCAACTCCATCCCGCATTCAGGCATCTCAGGGTTGCAACATTTAGCCTTCTTTGATGGACTCCCTAGCTCAATTTTGGAAGGCTCCATTGGTTTTCCATTTGGCACCGTGCTTGAGGTGGCTACAGGTTTCGGCAAGTAAATCAGACCGTTAACTGATTTTCCATCTTCCATTTCACGGGAGGAGACCTGACCTGAATAAGGATCAGAAGGGCCCTTCGCTGCAGCTAAATTACGAGGACCTATACAGAATTATTACAATTTATTTAAAGAAGGAATAGTATGTATGAACTGATACACGCCAATTATGTTTATTGAATTAAGATATGCAGGCTCATGCATGCAATTGCCAATCAATTAGTGAGATTCGAGACATCAATACCTTGCGAACTGAAAGAGTAGGAATATTAATGATGATGAAGCAGTACTTCATCAAGTAAAACAGAGGAATGAACATACTAGTATCTCTTATTTTCAACTAACAAGAATGCAAACTCTCCACTGCACCAGGAGAGCAACAGACTGAGAATTTGTTGGAACTTCCAAGCCCCCCCAAGCTCAGTTAGGGAGGTTATTGGATGCCAATATTGCTAGCACCTCGTTTGTGAGGGGCACCGCTTAGTAGTATTTAAACTTTCCACTATACCAAAAAAAATTGAACCTAAACAAACGCTTCCAAATGTTTTAGTGGTTCAAAAGATATTATTCTGAAGACATACTCTCTTTGAAATAACAGAATTACAGCGATAACGACGGGAAACCGGTGACATTCATTCAATTCAGTATTCAAAGAACAATGTTTATGGCAATTAACATGTCAAATATCTGATAAGCAATCAGGGTGGAATTTTCTCTCTGCCTAAATATATATAGATTCGCCCTTAGAGTGAGATGATAAATCATGTTCTTTCTTTTTGTTCCTTTTTCAATCAGAGTAGGAGCAAACCAGCACATTCATATACAACATAAACAATGACCACTGACATTTACTTCCTTTCTAGTAAGGAAATTCTATCAATAGAAAGGAGCAGATTGAAAATAAGACCCAAGATGATTTATTATGATGCAACAGATCAACAAAATAACACATTTTGCATCTATTCAGTTGAATAATTACTTGAATGTTGAAGTAACACCTATCCTGGACAAACTGTTTAGAGTTTCAGACAGTGATAACACTAGACCACATGTAATCACTTGTTTGGGTGAGACGTTCATATCACCGCTTCATTTGGCAGGATTACGAGGAACAAAAGATACTTTGTCGATATACGTGGCTGGTTATTTGTTGATTTGTGCTCGGACTCAAATAAATTACTGCCAAGCTTGATTCCATTAGAATAAGTAAAGTGGGAGTGCGTTAAAAATAGTACATAGCACACATATGGAAATAGAGATATAAGGTTAAATGAACACTCTCAAACTAAAATACGCGTGAAAAGACCAATAAGTTACATGCAATTCAAGTACTATCAACTCCAAATCATGTATGTATCTCAAACTGTATCCCGCACTGGCACCTGTTCAAGTGTCGGATTCTAAATATTTTGAGTAACAAGTAGCTAACATGCAATAAATAACATTGGTTGAAAGTTCGAATATTAGACTTTGTGGATTGAATTATGACAATAAAGTCTTTAATTTGTCGATATGTGGTTGGATTATGTTAACAGATCAGGCTTACATTATTTTTGTCGATTTGATAGCACTCAAACAGTTACCAAACAGACTCGATGTATTTTTTGTCGATTTGCTTCATTAGTTCATCACCATTGTTAATAGATCAGACTTCCGCAATTTATTTTTGTCGATTTGCTTAATTACTTTTTTGCACTTTTTGCTGGACAACAAATTGAAAATGTCCGCGTGATTATACAACATAAATATCTCTGTTTAGTTTTTAATAAGCTCTGTTTGTTTCCTCTCTTTTCATTTTCTTATGCTATTTTTACTTTATTCATAGAATTTAAGACTGATTACAAAATCTAATTAATAAATTATTGAAAAGGATATATGATCATGTGGGCACACACACACACATATATATACACGCACGCAGGCACGCGTGCACACACACACACATATCTTATGATAACAACAAACGATTTTGGAAGAACTTAAAATAATGAATTTCAACCTACTTTAAAGCGATATTTGAAGGTTTTTTTTTTTTTCAATCATGACAATTCATGAAAATACAATGTAGCCATGCCAAGGATCAAATTTTGTTGGATTTATGTTGAAACGGACAGTAATTGAATATTAAAATTTAATTTGGGTTTTTTAAAATATTATTTCAAGGTATTTTGACACATATTTCAAAGTTAAATTTCTAATTTTTTTCAATGTGTCTATTTTATTTCTAAAATGTTTTCGAAATATTTTCGTTTCTGACCCGACCCGACCAACCAAACAAAATTCGGAGTCTCAAAAACAAACATAATCAAAATTCATGAATAAACATTAAAAACTATGAAGGGAAAGAAACATATACCTTGAATTGAAGGGGTCGGATATGAAGGGCACAGATAGGAAGGGGCACGGCCCTCAGTGTTGATAGTTTGGATGGCACGAAGGAGCGCAGTGTTCTTCGAAGCCGATTCAGCAGCCCAAGCCTGGACTATAGGAGGTGGCGCCGCCACCGTCACCGCCTGTGACTTCTCTCTCTGGGAAACTCCGCCACCACCCATTGGGCGGCTCTCCGACCGCCATTTCATGGCATCGATTCTCCTCATTGTCTGATCTTCCCTAGTCTGCACCGAGGAGGAACTGCCATTATCGTCTGAGATGAGAGAAAAGTAGTTAATTAATGGAGACTTTTCGCTGACAACGGCATTGTAAGGGCCACCCAGAGAGAGCTGGAGGTTGAGTTCTGGTTCGAAGTGAGGGAATTGGGGTTCGTTGGAGCTGTAGGGTTGAATGTTGTCCAAGAAATTTCTGGGTCTAGTATTTTGTTGCAGGGAGAGTAGAATTTCAGCAACCCCATCTTGGTTTGGATTAGCCATTGCAACTACTAGCAAGAAAGTGAAGATCAAAAGTCAGAAAAATCTGTGCGTGTATGTGTGAGCATAACACTTCTTGCATGCTTTTTTTTTTTTTCAAAAAAAATCATGAAAGAGTCACATTGATAGATTAATCTTGGTCAGATACAAGTAGAAAGTTGATATTTACAAACATCACACATGAAATATTGGGCCGAGGGGAGAGAGAGAGAACCCAGAAAAGATTATATCACCTGTTGATATCAGCTCTTCTTTGTTCGTTCTGATACAAGAAATCAAAGAAAAGCACATGCGTGTACAAAATTATGTTAGACATACAAGTTACGAAGTTGAAAATCAGCATGAGATCACCACACGCAGAATAAAAAAGCCAGCTTAAAATGCTGTGTGTGTGTGAGAGAGAGATGATCTAATTTCAGAGAGTGTGCTTATGTAATCAAACTTACTATAAACCAATATCATGAAACATGCTGTACACTGACTGGACCCTACAGAAAAAAGTGTTGCATGGTATCATTGTGTGTCTGAGAGAGAGAGAGAGAGAGTAGCCAGAAAAGCTTACTCGCTTTTCAGAACGAGGTGAGCAAAAACTGCAAGAGAACCTCAACAATGACAAAGCATTCCGGTGATAATCCACCGGAGGAGCAGAAACTAAAAGGGTGAGATTGAGAGAGAGAGAGAGAGAGTGGGGGAGTGGGATTATAAATAATAAATGTCTAGAGCTGGAAATATCCACGTGGATATAAACAGTAAAGTGGAAAGGTATCGTGTAGGGTTGCATCTTTTCTTCTTACTTAACGGACGCCACATAACCTTGTCACTTTATGTTTACTCTGTCCTACTCTGTCTAAGACCGTAATTTCGGAAAAAGCACTAGGGGTATTTTGGACAACAAAGAATCCTATACAAATTATGGTGAAAAGTTTGCAATAAATGAGACTTGTGAATGATGCTTTAATTTACTATTTTTTTATTTGTTTAACACTTTATCAGACTCAACCTCGGACATATAAGATATAACACGTTTAAAATTTGAGTGCGACGGAAATGAAAATATCAAAAAATATATAATATGAAATAAAAAATAATAAAGTTAAAAACTAATATATACATGAAAAAGTATATGTTTGGACGTAGACATATACAACCTACTACGACACCGGCTAAAAATAGTGACATTGAATTCTTTAAATAAGTAGAGTGGAGTTGTATACTTTAAATGATAAATTTTTAGATAATATCTTTAATAAATAAAAAGGTTATAATGTTGGATTAGTGTCTTTTGTTTTATGTTATATTAGAGGTAACTCATGTCTAAAGATACGGTGTAATGTGAATAATTTTAAGAGGAATGTTGGTGACCATCGGATAAACTTATTGAAATCTGTCATGTTTTATATTATAGATATTATTTACATCTCACTTAATTTTAAGTATTTTACATATATTTTTTATTTTTTGTTTGTCAAATCTAACTATATTACTACCTTTTTATTTAATTAAATATTTAATTATGTATTATTTTTAACAATTTGGATCACATTATTATCTTTTTATTTAAATAGCGGTCCAATATAAGAATCCAATCTTTAAAATTAAAATTTTTTGAGGATGCAAAGTGTCATTGCTCTAAGTTAAAAAAAAATTAGCGATATATTGAGAAGAAAGACCGAAGTCTAACTATAATGGCAAATAAGACTCTTAATCAAATCAAGCTTATTGAGCTCGGCTCCGGTTCAATTTATTTTTGACTCGTTTAAACTTGACTTGTTTTTTAAATTAGGTAAACTTGAATAATTTTTTAAGCTCGATTAAAAAATGACCATGACAAGCTCGGCTTGAACTCGACAGACTCGACCCGTTTATTTGTAAATGTTCGGGCTCGGTTCAAGTTTGACTTATTTTAGGCTCGTTCAGGCTCCATTCGTTCTCTAAATGAGATAAACTTAAACAATTTTTTAGGTTGTATTAAGAAAACAAGTTTTTTAGAGCCCACTAAACATAATTTACATTCAACACAAACTTTACACTACTGAACAAAAATAAGCTAAACATAAATATAATCCTATTTTTGACACCATACAAAATCTACTGCAACTCAAATTTGACACGGCACAAAATCAATATTGACCCAAGTTTAAGGTAAAAAAATAATGTATAATTTGTACATATAAAAAAATGAAAAATTATTACCATCGCCAAAATAAAAAATAAAAAATGAGGTTAATTGTCATTTTGTAATTAAAAAATTATTAGTTATTCAATTGCCTATCAAGTAAATTTATTCGATAAACTATCTTCAAACATTACCACTGAGATATTAAAACAGTAAACTACTAAATTAAGATATAAGAAAAAAAAATAGTAAAATTATTGAAAATACATAATAAATGTTACAAACAATAGTTAAATAAAAATAGGGACAAGTTTTCAAAAAAATAAAAGTCAATTAAAGGTCAATGACAAGCACTTTCACTTTCAAAATAATAAAATAATTTAAAAAAAATATAAATATAGGCATACAATAATTTTTTTTAAAAAAATTGAGGGTGTGCACCCACCCTATCCCTTAGGGTGGGGTTATTCCTACCCCATAAATTTCTATTCTCATCCAATTTAATTTTTCATTATCAAACTATTAAGCCCACTCTTCTACATCCACCTCATTAATAACTAAATTTTTCATGCTATATACACCTTTTTTTAATAAGTATACCCACTTTATATTTTGTCATAATTAGGGTTCTATTCTTTATCTGATCTCATGCACTCACAAAAATACTTTTTTAATATGAATTTATTCAGTGAAATACAGGGTAGTATTACTGTTCAATTTAATTCTATATTTGATTTGTTATATGAATTTTCATTATTTTCAGTATGTTTACATATCTCTGTCAAGTTTGATAATTTTTTATTTAAAATTTATATGCGTATCATATATGTATGCTTTCAGATTATTTGTTCTTTTTTATATGTTTGTTATTTTTTTTGTTCGATTTTGTGTATATACTTGATGCTTATTTTTTTTTCATATTCAGTTTTGCGTCTTTTAATTTTGTTTATTCTTTTAATCTTTACTTAGTTTTTTTTCCTTCTTTATTTTTTTTTGTTTTGTTCTTTTCGTTTTTCTTGTTTCAATTTACTTCTTTCTTTTTTTTTTTTTCCTTATTTTGTTCTTTTTTTTTTTCTCGTTTTGACATGCTTGTTTTTCTTATTTGTTTCCTTTTTGATTGTTTATTTTTCTTATTTCAGTTTTGCTTGATTTTTTTTTCTTGTTTTGTAAATTTATTTACGCATTCAAATTAATTGTCTACTTTTATTTATTTTTTTTTACGATGACTTATGACGATCCCAAATTTAACCGGATTAGACCTAATAAATCAAGTGAGCCCAAATCAGGTAAAAAACGGGTCAAGACTAGTTAATAAATTCGACCCAGCCTAAGGTTCAAGGAGCCCAAGAAGATTAAAGCATGTGGGAAGCAATCATTGAGATACCCACTCTCTAAGATGAAGACAATCTTTAATTATACTTACCTTTTGTAACTATCCTCCTCGAGGAACTAATGCTCTCACCCTCACGTCACTGCCTCAACTAAAACTTTATACATATAAATTGTAACCTCTTTTTACATGAGAGGACATTTACATAGCTTTATACCTCTCCTAGCTATCATATTTCTTCCGGAGCTAACCATTGCTTTCTCTTCCACTCGCTAAAATTTATTAATAAAGGTTCTCCGGCCACTGTTGTTGTTTTTTGGAGTGGAGTAGATTACTCATACCAAACCACTATATATCTGTGTGTTGACCCAATATTTACTTTTTTGTCATTAGTTGCTTTATTAATTGTCTCATTAATTCTCTTCTATCATTTACTCAATTGTTGATATTGTATAAGTCTATTTTGTGCATTATCAACTTCTTTCATTAAATGAGTGTATATAAAATGAGAGAGTTTTACTATTAATGATGTGTATTGTCACAGGGTAACTTTTGTTTTTCCTTCGAGGCTACCTGTGAAGGCGTTGCTACTGCAACCAGCCACACTCAAACTCAAGAATAAGGGACAGAAACTCATACAGAAGGCACACACGAATTTACTGGGATAAGACTCCAAACCTTATATATTGAACTCAACAATTTACAAGGACTCTCAAAGTCAGAACACTCTCTTCCCATCAGAATTCTCAAGCACCCCTATTTATACAGGAGTAAGGCAGATGACACCCCCATCTGCCAAGGGGTAGTTACACACGTTTTTGCTATTCCATAGTATACTGGTTCGCAGACTTGGTCTCTGTACGACACCTGACAGGCAGTTCCACCACTTTCAGTAACTGCTGTGGAACTGTCCTTCATCAGCATGCATATAGATTGGATTCAGACTAGAGACGCCCAGAACTACCTCAACAACTGCCTTGACTGTGTCTCAGCATCATAACCGCCCACATCCTCCTGGTCACATGCATTGAATAGTCATGTGCCAGTCAAGTGCCCACATTCAGCAGTCATGTGCCAGTCAAGTGCCCACATTCAGCAGTCAGCCTGGCTACACGACCCAATATGCATGCTGGGTTCAACTCATGCCATGCAATCTGAAGCTATGCACCCACATTGCTTTAATTGAGCCCACCACGTGTTGCCTTGCTCAACCGGGTGTTCCCATGTTGCCTTGGTTCGCCCCAATCTGTCGAACCACTTAGCCGCATCACCTTGATTCTAACTTATGGCATGCCTTGGTTCAAGGTGCCACCAAGACTGGCCATTTGCACCCAAGTCAGTTAGGGTGTGACAAGCCACCCCCACCTGAAGTATCCAACGACCTCGTTGGAATGGAGGCATGGTATTGTTTGATGAGATTCTCGAATTGCCACAATGTCGTCTATTTCTCCCAAGTGGCTTCCTCCGGTACTTTCCCTTTCCACTTTACTAGGTAATGAGTTCTTCTGTTTTTCTTACTTATTCCTTCGGTCTTGTGGTCAAGAATAGCTTCAGTTA